AAAAAAAAACACACATCATGGTAAAATCAATACATTCATCGCTCCGCTCAGAATCTAAAATAACATTTAATAAAACTATATTATCTATACAAATTAATATATATATTTTTTTAGTATGGATACTTATATTTATAAAATGATTTGTTTTTTTATATTTTAACAAAGTTTGTTTACAGTTTTGATATTATCCACTAACTGATTAAAATAATATCATTCAAACATAATAATAAATAAATAATCGACAGCACTGAGTAGGGAAAGAAATGATATTAAATTTAAACACATTGGCATCGTTAACAAATACTTATATATTTATATAATAATTGATAATTAACTTATTTCTAATAAATCACAAGAAATTTGTTTAAAAGATTATAAGGAACTATTTTTTAAGTATATTAATTACCGCTGATAGTTATAAACTTTGAATACATCATAATTTAGTTGTTTGAATTTCGAACATAATACATTATGTTGTATGTAATACCTATTATATTATATAATGTTGTTATTAAAATAATTTAATTTTAAAAAGGTTTAATAATTTACAAGTAAAAAAATTTCCGACCACAAAATTTTAGTGCCCCCGAAATACTGGTGCCCGTATTTTACATTTAAAAATTAAAAATATCAAACAATATAGGTACCTACTTATCAATTATGAAATAAATACATTTTTTTTTTTAATACCACATTATGAAATTGAATTATTAGAATTTCAGAAAACTTAAGTTTTTAGTAGCGGAGATAATTTAGGTACCTTTGGTATTTTAATCATGCCATCATGGCTCTGATAGTGACAGCCAGACGCTCTTTATAAATTCATCGTGTATCGATGTGTTATAGTTAATAACGGTATAGTCCAGTGGTTTTTAACCTGTGGTCTCGATAATCATGCCGGGGGTCCTAACAGCCATAACACCTAACATAGGTCAATACGTGATTATTATTTTTTCTTTTTCTTATAAAATATATATTTTATCGTAAAAGATAAACCTATATCTACTTCCTATAATTTTAATATAAAATAATTATTATAATTTTATGATAACATGACATGTTTTGTAAAAAAAAGTATTTGAAAAAAATTGGGGGGGACGATTTCTGGAAATCTTTCATCGGGGATAACATAATGTATAGTATTTATTAGTTATTAATACAATTTAAAATTATATTGATTTAAATTGTTCTATTCCAATAAATCCATAAAAAAATTAATTTTTCATGAAATGCTGAACCTCATGATTAGCGTGCAGTAGGGTTTCCTCTTAGGGCTTAGGCATATTTGAATCAATTAATCTCCTGTTAGTTCGGAATCTATACCTATATATGGCTATGATTATACTATTATTTATCCCTGAAATTCGGAAGATTTTGAGTATAATTATTTACAGTTTTAAGTTCCAAGGTTCAACCATTTAATATCTACATAATACATATATACCTACCCATATATTGTATATAATATATATATATATGCATGGGTGGGACCACTTTATTTACAAGATATCTCTTGAGGATTTGACAGTTTTAGAATGAAATTACATTTATAAATATTACGTCTTACTCAGGTGCCTCTAATGTGAAGCTCCTTCATGTCTTTCACTGTCTTTTTCATCATTGCGTGCTAAACATTTTACTCATTGTGCCCCCTAGTAAAGATTGTAAATATTCATTTAAATAAACGATTTAAAAAAAAAAATTACTACTTCATATTTTTCTATTGCATGTATGGTTATTATAATTTATGTAGGGTTTCGAGTACACGAGATGTGGCAATCCAATCCGTTCGGTCTTGGAGAAATGTTTGACAGCACTGGACCACGCCAAGTACGCGCTGGTCTACAGCTCCGGGATGGCGGCCATCTCGTCCATGGTTAATCTGTTGGCGCCCGGTGACCATATGCTGTGCAGCTCTAACGTGTACGGTGGAACGTATCGGCTGCTCGACAAAATAGGCAAGCATGCGGGCATCTTGTTTGACTTTGTTGACTTTTCCGACACGGAGACTGTTATCAAAAACATAAAACCCAACACGAAGGTGAGTAGTCTGTACCCTGTAGGTACCTACGCCATTACCTACTAGAGCTTTGAATTTAATGCATTAAAAGCTGCACTTAAAATTTCTATAAAGACTATACATATCTCGAAAGATGCATTAAAAAACCTTATAAATACATTAAAATCTTAAACAATTGCTTTTATACGGTATGCGAATAATATTAACATTTTGTGATAAATATTTATAATATTATAAAAAAATAATCTAGTTTTAAAAGCTGTATTCAAACATTTTAGATTAAAAGGCATTATTATATGCATCAAATTTAGCTGAACCCACACCATATCTTGTTCACGACTACAGTATACTTTATTTTAATACAGCTACTGTATTTGATTAATGCTTTAACGTATATCAATTATTTGAATACTGTAATTATTATTRTACGCATCTGTATATAGATAAATGAATACTTTGATTTAACTACATTCAACTATTGCAGCTGCAACTTTAATTCTTTACATTTATCTATAATCATATATGATAAAAAAATCTCTTATTTAATTATACGTGACCATTGTTACAGATAATTCTTAAACAAATGTATATTATAAGTAGGTATTTAGATTAATTGACTTTTGTATGTTTAAGAACATAACTTTTGATAATTTGGAAATTTCTAATAACGTTTAGATTTAATATGTCATTTTCGTAATGAATTAAATCATTTTGCATGAAAATGTTGATTTGAACAATTTCATATATTGATATATTTCATATATGACTTTATAAAACTGTACGTGTCAAAATGTCTGTATCATATTATTTTTTTCGCAAAAACATACCTACCTTAAAAATTATTTGTTTTTGCTTGTTTTCATTTTCTTCGCTTATGAATATAATGTTGCCTACCAGCCTACCTATAAAATGTATTTCATTTTATTTCAGCTCGTTTGGTTTGAGAGYCTATCAAATCCTTTAATGATCGTTATAGACGTACAAAAAGTATCTGAAGCCGTTCACAGGATTCGTGCAGACATCTTAGTGGCCGTTGATAATTCATTTGTGACCCCCTATTTTCAGGTAAAAAAAATTTACAATTTTAATCCATGTATAAACGTTTTATTACATTTTTTATCGCTTATAAATGAAACTTGTTGTCAAAAGAATACAAAAATACGAGATTGCATGTTGTATACCTGTCAAGCAAACTGTTGTTTGAGTGTTGAAATATTATACCAGCTTTTAATTTTGGATCTTTTCGGTTATCTGATCGTCATTAAAATTTTCATATTTTTGGGTTTTTGGGCACATACCGGCATAATTATTTATTTATTTATTATTTATTATTTTTTTATTAATAAAAACATTAATATAATAAAAAAAATAATTATAATAGTAATATGTAATATATTATTTTATTATATTATTATTATTTATTATTAATATTATTTATTTATTATTGAATTAAGAAATTTGAAAATTTTAACGGCGGGGCTATATAACCGAAAATATCCTTAGTTTTCAAATCATAATAACTATAATTTAAATTGTTTTTGTCTTGTTAATACACTATATACAGAGACCGTTGGATCTTGGCGTAGATGTTATTATGTATTCGTTGAGTAAATATATGAATGGACATTCAGATATACTTATGGGGGCACTAGTAACCAACAACAAGAAGTTATATGATAAATTATACGTTTTTCAATACAGTAAGTAACGTTATATAAATACTGTGATTGTATATATTCTATTTGAGTAGGAACAAAGTTTTCATATTAAAAATGTAAAATATTTCTTATCACAATTTATAACAATAAGTGATATTAGGTATTATAAAATTGCATGTACTTGTAGTCTGTATGCGTAGGTAAACATAAAAAATTAATAAAATTATCTATATTGTTTATAGGTAAATATAGACTCTATATAGTTAAAAGCTCACTTAGATATTTTATCTTCTATTTCAGTTGTTCGTATACGTTATTCCTTGAAACTCAACCTTATAGAAAAATAGTATTACAACAATTTAAATCTAAAATTTGAAACTACCATGGCAAAYGCACGAGTGTTTTTAATCACATTCCTTTATAATATTATACACTTCAATCAATCTCGATTGAATTTTTTTTTTTGTTTGCAAACGAATAACTGGAGTAAAATATAGTGTACAAAAAAAAAAAATAAATTGTATGTTTTTAATTTATGTCTTGGTATTTTTTTTAGGACTTAACTTATTTACAAATTATATTGAATTTATATTTTTATCAAAATACTATTTAGGTATTTTTGCAGATTCGTTTTTTAACCCTTATTTTATCTATAACATTTTTAGCCCTATTTTTTTTATGGATATTGTGCATTATGAATTTCGAATGTAATTATTGTATTATAATTTATGACGGTATTTATACCTAAAAAATAAATTTTCGCCTTAGCCTCAGGAAACGTACCGTCGTCGTTCGACTGTTACATGGTCAACCGCGGACTGAAGACGTTACACGTGCGAATGGAACAGCACATGAAGAACGCCACGGCGGTGTCCGTTTACTTGGAATCGCATTCCAAAGTGCTTAGAGTGAACTACATGGGCCTACCCAGTCATCGGCAACACGAAATTATCGAAAAACAGTTCACAGGCTACAACGGCATAGTGTCGTTCTACATCAACGGCGGCATCGAAGTGAGCACAAAGCTGTTGGAATCGCTTAAGCTGTTCTGTATCACGTGCAGTCTGGGCTGCTACGAAAGCTTGGCCGCTCTTCCGTGAGTATATATATATATATATATATATTTATATACCAACATGACGAGCAGTTCTCATATTACTTTGGAAAACGTTTGTGAAAATAATTCTTATGTATACATAATCTTTATAGTACCTACTATATGTATAGTTATAAAAACAAAATTTTGGAAAATAAAAAAGTAATATATTTTTCCGCTCGCTTGTGAACAGACCGGAACTGGGGGCCAGTTTTGTGGCATTGTGTGCTATTGATTTCGATAAAAATTATATCAGTATGTATAGAGATCACAAAAATAACATGGAACACGTCATCTGAGGTACTATAATGAATATAGTTGACTAAAATATTCATAACATCTTACTACAGCCTTTTCATGACGTATACCGCCGATCAACAGACAAGTCCGACGCATTTTACCGTATAGGTCAGTGGTTTCCAACCTGGGGGGCGTATAAACATCGCTGGGGAGGCGCAAGCAGTCATCCCAAAGTAATATTTTTATTTATCAAATTTTATTATATTTAAAATTAAGAGAAAAAATGAAAAATTAATAAAGACTGGTTATCGATATAGATTATAGAATTTTATTATACATTCTATTATTTATAGTTTTTACTAATTTATTATAATAATTACTCACATAAATTTATAATTCCACTATAATACTATATTATTTACAATTATTATTTATATTTCATGATTACTATCATCAATACAAAAGTAGTCTTTCCGAATATTATATATGTAGTTTATTTGTAAAATGTAAAGTAAACAAAAAAATTATAATTTTTTCAATTTATAGGTGGGAGGGGCGAGATTTTTGAAAATCTATAAAGGGGGCGTAGAATAAATAAGGTTGGAAACCACTGATATAAGTAGTTCAAAATTAATTAAATTTATTACCAGGGCTGTGCGCCTGTGCATTTCATCTACTAAAAAGGTGTTAAATATGCATGCGTTTATGTAGGTACTAAAATATACCAAAATATGCAAAAAGTATATAAACAAATGTTCTATGAAATCGTTTTATTATTATATTTATTTACAATACCGACGATGTATCTAAGACYGTTGTGTACCCACGTGTGTTACCAAATCAACCAAGTTCCATACACTAACAGTTTTAATATTTTATATATCAAATATATAAGACGATGAAAAAAAATGAAAAATAAAAATAAGCATTAACCTAAAAATTAATCACATCAAGCATTTACTAAACGATTGTTTTCATATTTATTTAATGACTGTAAATGATTAAATATCGGTTCGAATGCCGGTTGCACATCTTGCCACACCCCATCTCGACGACACAACATGATTATATAATATTCTCCCAGCGCCGCAACTACACCATTTTGGGCCCGTGTGTAAATAAATGAATGGGCCCTCACCCCTCTTAAAAATTGAAAAATTAACCTATTGACTATTATAAAATTAATGTATACAAATTTGAAAACATACTTTGGWATTTTGAGTTATTACTCAATACTCAATACTCCTTTGCATGACGCGCTTTAATAAATTGCAACCAAACTACCAAACTATTTTTAATTTCGGTTATTCAGGCTGCATAAGAAACGTTAATGTACGATAATGTTGTGTACAAAACAAAACCGATCTATTGCTCAATCTGTATTAATAATTATTATTATAACAAAATAGTTTTATTTTATTTATTTCTATATATTTTTTATCATTGGGCCATTACGGGT